CACGATTTAGGTTGATTGTAGCACTACAGATACCTACAAATTTGGAGCTCATAGATGAACTGACTAATAAACTAAAACTTGAGTTCACTCTAGATGTCTGTACTTCTGTGAATAGGAAGTTTTCAGTTACTGAGCTTCAAGAGCAAATGAGCTGAATATGAAGTAGTGAATGCCTGTAATCCCAGCACTTGAGGGGTAGAGGCAAGAAGACTAGAAGTTGAAGGTCAGCCTGGGATATATACATAGTGAGTTAGAGGCCAGCCTAGGATACATAAGGCTATCCCACAAAAAAAATAAAGAAAAAGAAAAAGAAAAAGAAAGGGAAGAAGAGGGAAAAAAGGGTGACTTGTCCGAACATTTACAAGAACCTAGACTTTACCTGACTTTTATTAACTCTAAGTTTTTGTGCCTTTTTTTTTCCCCCAGCTTGAGACAGGGTCTCATTTATCCCAGGCTGGTTTTGAATTCATGACCGTGACTCTGCTTCTTGAATGTTGGCCTTAAAGCATAAGCCACCATGCCCAGTTTTATGTGGTACTAGTGGCTGAAAGCCAGGACATTGTGCATTTTGGCCAAGTGCTCTACCATCTGAGCCACATCCCTAGGCCTTTTGGGCCTCCTTTGTTTCCACCTAAATTTGTTTCATTTTCTCTAGTGATACCTGAATGAAAGCAACATTCCACAGACAACAGCACCAAATGTATGCAAATAGAGTCACAATCAGTACTGTGTGATCTAGCCTAGAGCTGTTAAGCCTGTTCCTTTCTGTTACAGAGCTGCTCAGCCTTAGAAGAAAAGAACAAAGAAACAAGAAGTATGACCTTCAGCTAAAATAGTGACTTTGTCTCCTGCTGAATCAAACACATCTCACTGTATGACAAATAACCTGCTGTCAAGCTGTGGAAAAAATATTTACTTCCTACACCCGACTTCCTCTAGACCAGCTGAATGTTCTCAAATAACAGTTTTCACCCTCACACAACTATCCTTTTTCTTGCCTAAGCCCAAAGAAGCTCCTAGTCCTAAATTAAAAGTTCCAAAGTGATAATAAAAACGCATCAGCATTATGAATAGTGATTAAATATGGCCAGACATTATTTGAAAGAGTGAGACCACTGACAGCAAGGCAAAAAAAACAAAAAAACAAAAAAAAGTGAGCTCCATTCTGGTACATGAAGATATGCCTGGGTGTTTTAAAGAAGATGAAAAATGAAAATCACTAAGATTGGTGAGTCTACCCCTGACTGGGTCAGCTGCATCTGCTTGATGACAGACAAATTAGGATTCTAGTCTCCCACAGAGACACAGAGACATCATCCTTCTGGTCCATTGCCTTTCAAAGAAGGGTTCTCTTAGGTCCCTGACACATGATTTATACAAAATATATATCCAATTGGATATACCCATTAATATATGTTCTGTGGAAGAGAGGTCTAGGATCAGGTGTTAGCTGACACAAGTATTTACTTGTGTCAGCTTTGAGTTTTGTTTGCCTCAGGCAGCAATGGTTAATTTTACTTTTGAGGAGTTGGAGGATTCAACCCAGGGCCTTGTGTGTGCTAGGCAAGAACTCTGCCACTGGTTTCTAGAAGCCATGTTGGTGTCTCAGTAAAGCTTACATTACATGTTGAGTTTGGAAATCACCCCCTAGGGAAGTCTGGATCTTTATCTGTTTCACAGGCCTTGCATTTCTCCACAACTAGCCCATTTGTACAGTTAGTACAATCTGCCATTTCAAAGTCAGTGAGGTGAAGGCTAAAAGGGTTTTTAAAAAAATTATTAAAGCCAGGCGTTAGTGGTGCATGCCTTTAATCACAGCACTTGGGAGGCAGAGGCAAGCAGATCTCTGTGAGTTTGAGGAAAGCCTTGTCTACAGAGCGAGTTCCAGGATAACCTGCAAAGCAATACAGAGAAACCCTGTCTCAAAAAAAAAAAAAAACCAAAATAATAATAATAATTAAAAGTCTTTCACTCATTCAGAACTACACATGCCCTGGCAGAGACAGAAATTCAGTCTAAGGTTTAAATATAACTAAAGAGTCTTCGGAGTCTGTGAGGAGGAAAGAAAAAGGATGAGGAAAACATTACAGTGTCACACACATACCCCACCCACCCCAATACAGAAGCTCAATGAAAAGACCTATAGATCAGAGTAAAAACTGACTTCCTTTTTCAGAAACAAGAGAACACAAATAAGAACAATCTGTAAGTTATTATGCATATTTGAGGAAAACTTCAAAATTTCCTTTACAAACGCCATTTTCCCCTGACAAAGCTGTCAGACCAAAACAGAAAGGCAGCCTGCAACTGAGCTGATCCCAAGGCGGGGATTCAAGGAACATTTCTGTGGACCTCCTATGCATTTAAAGATGCCTCCCTCATCCAGGAGATAGCTCATAGATTGGTGGGAGAGAAGATCCCACCACACAAATATCCGATTGACAACGTCTTGAGTGACACTGCTAGAGGTAGAAAAGAATACAGTTATCACGAGGTTGAAGGGGTGCTTCGGGAGCGCGGGTCTGTCTGTTCCCACGGCAGGTGACATTGGACGGGATCCAAGATTAAAACCGACAGCTGTGCTAGGTCGACTCATACAATGCCACTTCGGCTTAGGGGCTGTCTATACGCTTCCATTCCGTCTGACAGCTTTGGTCAAAACCACCTTTGCTTCTCCGTCTCCCCTCAGCACTGTGAGGCAAAGATGGTGATGACTCAGTTATGTAAACTGTGTGTGGGGAAAATGAGGAAAGCCCAGCAGGCGGACCCTCTTTCGTTTGGACTGGAACCACACTTTCCCCAGTCTGTTCCCTCAGGAGGAGCAGACGAGGGGGCAGAAGGACCCTGGGGGAAGCTCTTGAGCGGCCCAGAAAGCAGGGAAGCTCGCTGGCGGCCGAGGGCTCGCAGGGATGCGCTCCGGGAAGGTGTTCCTGACCCTGGAGCCACTTGTCCTATTCTTTCACTTACATTCGCGACGGGAAGATTTCAATCCGGTCTTTGCCCGACATCCTAACGGTGACTGTTCGGCTCGGGCCCCCAGCCGAGCAATCGTGACTGCAACACCGCCAGAACTGGCTACCACAGCGTCCTCCACCACGGGAGTCAGCTGACGGTGTCACTTGACCCTCTCGCGTTGCTAAGAGGCTACGGAATACCGGTCCCTACTTCCGGTTCCTACTGCGAGAGGACTGAGAGGGAGGAGAGGGCTGGACGCGAGGGACGCCCGGATGTGGAGGCGCGCACAGCCCGGAATTCCGGGTCCCTCCACAGCCCCTCCCGCCGGCGGCTCGCCGGTGCAGGTTGCAGCATGCTCCGAGTGACGAATCAGAAGATCACGCCCCTCCCCTTCCTCGGCTTCCCGTCTTTCGTTACAGCGCCGTCTGTCGGTGGACTAAAATTTAAACGTAACCATTCTGGAGCAAGAAGCCGGCTCTGTCCTCTTCTTTAAGCCCTGCAAGTTCTCTCCGCAAAATCTACCGAGCGCCGAGGACGCGGATTTTTCAGGCCGCCCTGCGGTTCACACCGCTCGCATTTGGAGGACCACGACTCTATGGTCGTGGTGACGAAGGGCCTTTTCTGTCGGCGCTTGCGCAGTGAGAGGCGGGGCCGCATGCGCGCTGGGCTGAGCGAAGCGCACGCTGAGGAGGTTCGGCGTCCGGGGCTGCTGTGCCGAGTCTCTTCGTTGCCATTAAGGAGCGCGGCGTGGGACCCTAGTTCGGGATTCACACCTACACCGCAGGTGACTGGCCCCGCGCCTCGCTCTCCCCGGGAATTCACTTTCGTTGTGTTCCGTGACAGGAGTGGTCGAGCGAGGCTAGGCCCCAGGCTATCAGCCCCGGTCCCCGTCCGTGCGCGGGAAGTGCCCGGACCCCGTGGTCCCCGCCCGCCGGTTCTTCCCTGGGTCTTCTCGCCGGTCGGGTGTCTAGTGCTGCGAACCACAAACGTGGGTTGTTGGGGCGGAGGGACCCGCGGAGAAACGTGGCCCCTAGATTCTTAGACCTTCTGGCGGGGAGGCCTCGGGGGGACGCCGCGACACCCCAGCCTTACCTGGCTCGGGACGATTGGGCGCTTTGCTTTTACCGGGCCTGGGAATTTGGACTTTTTTCCACCCTCCTTTTCCGCCCCAGGATACACCAAAACTTTCCCCTGACTCTGTGGACACTGAGGTTTTCGCTAAAGAACCAGTAGGATAGGTAGATCACCATGTTTAAGTTTTTTTTTTTTTAAAGCAGGTTCAAGGTAGTCCATAATATGACCATTAAAGTTGAAGATTGTGAAGTTTTCGTTCTAGTTATGCGTTTCGGGAGCGTGAAATCATCCCTGGAATTGAAAGACCAGGCCATATCGGGGCTTACTGGCCCTGTTTTTACTACTGCCCGAAGAGAACTGGCATCTTTTTTAATTATGGAAGCTATAAGCCTGGTATTAAGGCAAATTTAGGATGCTTCCGTTTTCATTACGGAAGAAAAGGCATTGTTTCTTGAAGAAAGGGTGCATCCCCGAAGTCTTGATTTTTCTCCTCATTAAGTTGCTGTTGTGAGGCAGGGAACTCCACTGTTCTCAGCATTACATGAAATAGTAGTGCCTTTTTTTCAGTGCTTATGACGCAGGATGACAGGCGCTGACTCTCAGGAGGTGTGGTTGTACTGGTAAACTTCAGAGCTGAACAAGTCCTTTCCCAACACAGTTCACTTTATTTTGGAGTACTCATTCCTGTGTCCACTATGGTGACTTGACACTGTACTGGCTCTAGAAGACAAACCTACTGCTAACGGGCAAAATACTGATAATGTAAAGTATTTGAATTTAACTTCGAATTTCGGTAATATCTTTTTGGGGGGAGGGGCTTTTTTTTTTTTTTTTTTTGGCTTTTTTTCGAGACAGGGTTTCTCTGTGTAGCTTTGGAGCCTATCCTGGCACTCCCTCTGGAGACCAGGCTGATCTGGAACTCACAGAGATCCGCCTGCCTCTGCCTCCCGAGTGCTGGGATTAAAGGCGTGAGCCACTGATGACCGACTTTTGTTTGTTTTTGTTTTGTTTTTCTTCCCCCGAGACGGGTTTCTCTATAGTTTTGGAACCTGTCCTGGAACTCGTTCAAGACCAGCTGGCCTCAAACTCAAAAGTGATCCGCCTGTCTCTGCCTCCTTAGTGCTGGCACTAAAGGCCTGCACCGCCACCACCACCTAGTGTGTTTTTGTTGTTTGTTTTTTACATCAGAACAACAGCCTGTGTGTGCCTGTAATCCCAACTACTTTAAAGGCAGAAGTGGGATCTTGAGTTTGAGGGATGTGCTTTAATCCCAGCACTCAGGATGCAGAGGCCAGCACTCTGTGTGAGCTTGAGGCCAGCCAGAGCTACACAGTGAAAACCTGTGAAAAACGGGGTGGGGAGAAAGCCTAACCTAGTCTCATACTGTGATATGTTGAGGCTTTGTGGATAAAAGACACGTCAGATTTAGTGTTAAAAGACTTGGATTTGGCCGAGCGTAGTGGAGCACACCTTTAATGCCAACACTCTCGAGGCAGCGGCAGGTAGATCATTATGAGTTCGAGGCCAGCCTGGTCTACAAATCAAGTTCCAGGACAGCCCGAGCTGTTAAACAGAGAAACCCTGTCTCAGAAAAAAAAAGAAAAACAACAACAACAACAAAATCCTGGGTTTGATTCCTGTATTTTTAGTGCTTATGTATTTGTCCTTGAATCCTTGAAGTTATTTAATATTTCTGCTCTCTGTTTGCTGTTATTCCTTCTCTGGTTTTTCATAGCACCTTTTGTTTGTTGTCCCACTAGTACTTAATTCCTTAGGGAAGAATTTTTGTGTTAGTATTGTTTTGTGCTTAGTAGTGACTGCCTAAAAAAAGTCTTAGCAGGTTAAATTGCAAAATGAAAAAGTCAGAATACTTTGAAAATATGAAAAGGACTGAATAAATTATTGATTTCTGTTTCATTGACAGAACAAGTATGGGCTTTAAAAATTGTTTTTTAAAGTTACGAACATTTCATAAAGTGATTTAGTCAGCCAATGTGACAAGAATTCCTTTGTAGTTTCAGGCTACTTTCTACTGTAAGTAACATACCATTAGCAGTGTTCCTTTGTTTATTCTTTATCTTGGGCGAAGGTTGTGCCTGCTAAAGTAGTAGCTATATCTCCCGTCTGTGTCCTCTTACCCTGTTCTTTTGTTCTTTAACCAGCAGATTAAGCCAAAACATCACCTTTACTATTTGGGAAAATTTGTTGACTAATTAGAATTAACAGCTGTTAAATCTCCTTAAATTGTTCCACTTTTGTTTATTGAAAGTCTGCTTGTCAAGTTCTCCATATACAGGTATTTGAAAACATTTGTACCCCTACCCTTAAGAGAAGCTCTGTTTAAAAATGAAACAACTGTTTCCAAATGGGTAAATCTAGCTGAGTGTCGAATTTCTTTTGTTTACTAAATCCCTGTTTTGTTGAGCTGAAAAATGAGTCTGCCACATGTTGCTTTTGGTTAAACAGTGCTGTTGGTTCTGTCCTAATTCTTAGACCTAATTTGTGATGTATTTTCTAACACTGAATATGTGTATCAGTATTGCTTTTTGTTCAAGTTAGATGTTTCTAGTTATTATTAGTTTTTTGAGACAGGGTTTCTCTTTGTAGCTTTGGAGCCTATCCTGGCACTCACTCTGAAAACCAGGCTGGCCTAGAACTCACAGAGATCCACCTGCCTCTGCCTCCTGAGTGCTGGGATTAAAGGCGTGAGCCACTGACGCTGGCGTGGTTATTTCTTAATACTGTGTCCAGATTTTAAGAGCATAAACCTGCTCAAAATTTAATAGGCTCAAATCTTGACTTTCACTGCACATCAGGAGACTGAATTTCATATGTATAAGCAAAGAGCTTTTTATTCAAGCTTGAACTTGGACCCTATGTCCATCCAACATAGTGGTGAGGTCAGAGTCCAGTTGGGGTGGGGTTTTTATCATAGCAGAAGTTGAGGGTGAGGGGATTTCTAAGGTTCAGGCTTACATTTGTCTATGGTGTCTTGGTGAAAGGGGGGATGTGTTAAAGACATCTGGTGATCCTATCTATAATGGTTCCAATGTTAGGTGTTTTTTTGGATAATCTGTTCCTGGATATTGCCTGGGTGGTCTCAGTTTGTGGTCTTTCCTGGAACCAGGTATTGCTTTAGGGTAAACTGAAACTCAGGCCTACTCTTTGGCTAGTCACTCCATTGACCCTGTCATGGCTGGGCCCTACACCGGTTAACAAGAAAGTAAGTTACTGAAATTTCACAATTATTTCCTTAGGCTTTTAGGTGCTATGTACTACCTATCTTTTGGGCTCTGACACAGTAAGTAGGTTATGATTAATAGGAAAACATAAAAGTCCTCAGCTACAATTAAAGTTTGAGGACTTCCTTTTTAAAGTATAGTGCTAACTGTGGTGTGATTTTTCAGCATATAGGTCACTAAAGAGATGGTGCTGGAAACTGGGTGGATCAAAGAGAATAATTTTAGGTATCTTTAAAGGATGGGGATTAGAAGACACTTGAGCTGTGGAGATTTATAAAGCAACTCACAAGACTAGGCATATTTGTAAACAAAATAAAAATAGGACTGGGGTAAAGCTTGGTGGTGAAGTACTTTCCTAGGATGGGCAAGACCCTAATGTCTCAAAGTATTGGAGAATAATACAAGCTAGAAATTATAATGACTGAATTAAATTGCTTTTTTTAAAAGGAAATAAATGAATATGAAGTCTTTTTTTTTTTTTTTTTTCCTTCCCCAGAGACAGCATTTCTCTGTAGTTTTGGCTGTCCTGGAACTCTCTTTGTGTGTATGCCAAGCAAGAAAATGAAGTCATTTTTATTTTGTGGGTGTTGTGCTTGTATGTATATCTGCACTATGTGCTTGCAGAGGCCAGAAGAGGGCATCAGATTCCCTTAAATTGTACTTGCAGATGGTTATGAGCAGTCCTGTGGGTGCTAGAAACCAAATCTGCATTTGCTGGAGGAGCACCCAGTGCTCTCAGCCACTGAGCCATGTAGCCCCTTCCGTTGTTATACTGCAATTTTGGCTGCAGTGATAATTGACTAGAGGTGCAGCTCATGAGAGCAAAGAATTGCTTCATGTGTAAATAGAAACTCAGCTCAGTATGCAGCATCACAAAAAGTATTGGCTATAAC